TTTTTTTTTTTTTTTTTTTTTTTTTTGCATAATATCGCAGGCAATATCCTTCTCAAACCTATATGCACCCGAGCATTTGATTGTTAATGTCAGAGACGCTGAGAAATGGGAGGGCCTCATCGAGAATGCTGGTACGATCCTCTCTCCCGGCTTTAACCTCGTAACGAGTTTGTGTTTCTTACAACTCTTTCTACAAAATGATCAGAGGGCTGAATCACCTGACCGGGTTTGAACAAAATCCATTGCAGGGTCTGTGTTTTTAGGGCAGTGGACTCCGGAAAGTGTCGGGGACTATGCGAGCGGGACAAACCATGTTCTTCCAACCTATGGTTATGCCCGGATGTATGGGGGAGTTTCTCTGGATTCCTTCCTCAAGTACATGACCGTACAATCCTTAACAGAGGAAGGTCTGAGAAATCTTGGTCCTTATGTGGCAACAATGGCGGAAGTCGAAGGTCTAGAAGCTCACAGGAGAGCAGTGACACTCAGGCTCGAAGATATCGAAGCCAAACAACTAGCCTGAACTAAAATGATTCTGCCTTTCGAGAATCAGATTCAGGCAGAACATGTGTATTGGATTCGGTTGTGTTGCAAAGGCAGTGAGTTCCCGACTCGTGGGAACTGATTTGGTTCTTTAGATTTGGATTTTGGATTTGAACCGTAAGATCGTTGGGTACGTCTTATTTGATGAATCTAAAATATTGTGGAGAAATAATGTGGGAGGAGGTGTGCGTTAGAAACTCCTGTAATCATGGTTAAAATTATAATCCTTTGTCAACCAAAAAAAAAAAAGTTTTTATTTGTATATTTCATGAAAAGGTGTATCAGAATTTAATCTAATGAATTATAAAGCGGCAGAAGCTAAATAAAAATGTTTTTTTTTCCTGATTTTATTAATCCGCCAGAGAATATATAAACTATTATACATCATAAATTACGTGATCAGAATTAGGGTAAGATACTATAGATTTTGATTCGATTCGATTTTTATTTAGATTTTTTTTTTAAATTTCGATTTAAATTAAAAAAAACTATGATAAACCTTTATTACTTCAAATTTTTTTCCACGTGTAGAAGCAGAAGAAAGATAAACCGAAAAGACAAAATACGAATCCCTTATGACCGATCCAAAAAGTGAAAACATAAAAAAAAAACGTTAAAGAAGAAAAGGGGCCGTGTTACTGCTACATCAACGAACACCGACCCTGATTATGACATGCATCTTTGTTATCGTTATTCGTCTCCTTCGGCATTGGTAGTGGTCGCATCAAAATCTCGTTACCTTTCCATCCGAAAGTATACGTATTGTCCCGTCCTCTATACGTAGCGTCTACGTCGAAAAGCCATGGTCTTCCCAAGACCACATCGCATGCATCCATGCCGTCATCATCTACCACATCACACATCACCTTGTCCTTATAGCTCTCCCCTATGGAAAGAGGGACTTTGCATGTTTCTAGGGCTCCCACCTTTGTTTGCTTTTCAGTTTTCAAGTTCATCGACTCGACTAGTGATCTCGATACCAAATTCTTTGCGCTTCCGCTTGAAATTACCACGTCGCAGCTGAATTCATCGATGATAGTGAGCCGAGTGCGGAAAACGTTATGCCGTTGTGATCTCTCGGACTCCCTCTGAATGTCATTGCCTCGATTATCGACTAGACTAAAACTCCGATACCCTGTCCTAAACTCGTTTTTCATATCCTTCGGTTCACTCCCGACCGGATCTCGAATGTAGAAAACGTTATACCAGTTCGATTTCTCAGGTTCCCTCTGAATATTGTCGTTGTCCCTGTTATTCGCGTGTTGTAGAATAGCAAAGACTTCTAAACTCGGATACCGTGTCATAAAGTCGCTTTGTGTAGAGATTGGATCACATGTGCAGTGATCCGAGCGGTTGGAACTGTTAGGGTTCGATTTTTTACGATCTCGGTCAGGAGGTTGGAAGCTCCCTTGACATTCGATGGTGGATAAGATGTGGTCAACTCTGTCGAGCATAATTTCGATTACCTGGAACCGTGGTTCGAGGTTGTTGAACATATGATCGATGCACAGTTCGAGGTTGTCGAACCATGCCTTGTAGCCGACATGATCTTTAGCCATTATATCGTTTAGGCGATCAAAAAGTATGAAGCTTTATGGAAGGCAATCGGTTACGGATGAATGATGATGATGTGAATTGTAGCGAATATAGCGCGCCTTTATATAATGATGGATGAAGATGCAATTTCCTAATAGGAATAAGAGTTTATAAAAAATAAAGGAAATAGGAAAAGCTAAACATGAAGAGAAAAAAGTAAATCTCTGCAAAAATTAGTTTTCCTAATTGTCCTAGGAAAGGGAAAAAAAACTTGGGTTTCAAGGGAAGACGAGAAACATTTATTTATTTATTAAATTAAAAAAATAAAACTATAGAAATAAAAGACTGAAAACAAAGGAAAAAAAATGAAATACTGTACTATGTTGCATATTTCTAAGAAGAATATATAAGAACATAAAAAAACGAAAAGGAAAAACTAAGGGGAACAAGAACAAGAAACTAAAAAAATATATAATAAAAATTCGTAATGAGCAGTTTATTATTTAGTGCTTCTTTATTGTTTGCCATATTCGAAGTTTCTTAAGAGACAGGTAGATGAAGCAAAACTACTAAACAGAGAAGAAAAGCTTCAGAACCTGATGACTTGTTTAGGTTGGCTCCCTTGCTTCCCCATAGCTTTGTCAAGAGCCTTGTGGAACTCTTCGAATGGAACCATTTCCACCCTGCAACCAAAATACAAAAGCCCAACTGTAAACCCGTTTTTTCACTCTCGAGATTTACTTGAAAACACCGGGGAGGTGAGGGTCTCTTGTCGAGATTGGACATGTACTCGTATTTTAGCTTCCTGTCTCGTGCAAGCTCGAGTAGATAGTCTATCATCTCTCTGCACTCTTTTGCTTTCCCCATACTCATCCACTTCTGCAGCCAGAACCCTCTCAATGACAAATCCTACACAGGTTTCATAAACCCACAAGTTTCAAAATTCGATTTTTTATAGACAGATGCAAAACGGGGTGTGCGTGTGTGCTTTGCTTCATTCTTTAACCAGAAGATTCTCTGGAAGCAATTCTGCGGGAATTTAGGGTATGCTGAAATTAGTATTTTTCATACTTTGTCAGAAAGATCAACACATTACCTTACCTTAAAAATGAAAGATGTTGTTGATACAGTGATCGGTTTCTTAGACATCCCACCATATGTTACCATGGTCCCTCCTTCCCTGAAACACGACAAACAGCTTTGTAATCTTCACGTAACGTAAGATTAAAATGTCAAAACACAGAGTTAAAAAAAATTGCCAACCGCACCTCAGGAATTTTAGCACGAGAGAAGCAGCATTTCCACCAACACAATTGAATCCAAGAGCAGGTTCGGGCAAGTTTCCCTACCAGAAACACATAGACATACACATATGTTAATGCAAATACTGAGTACTCAACAAGCCATGAGAAAGCCCTAGACTTAGATTTTTACAAACAGCCCCTTCACGTTCTTCACATCAAGCTGACTTTCAGAGAGCACTTCATCCGCACCCAGAGATTTCAGCTTCTCTTTCGCTTCATGTGACCCAACCCTAAAATCAATGGCATAAGATCAAAACCGCTTTAATACTTTGTTGCCCAAATGTGTAGGTTCAGTTTTCAATCTTGGTAAAACATCAATACCTGTCACGTATTATGTTGATGCTACTGATGCCACGTAGTCTTGCTAACTGGATGACGCACTGCCCCACAATGCTTGTTGCACCATTTTGTACGATACAATCTCCTGCATCACATTGACACTGAGTTGGGGAAATTCAAGTAGAGAGTAAACCAGATATGTGAATTTCTCCTCCTCGACCTGATTTTAGGGTCACAAAGTCCTCAAGCATTCTTAAAGCCGTCAATGGGTTAACTGTAATTGTTGCGGCATACTCCATTGGAGAAGCTTTGTCGATTTTGTGCCACACATTCTCCTCCTTCACAACATATGTCTGCCAAGTCCCTAGCCCAGAAAGATTTCTCAAGTAAATTTAAAAGGAGGACCTGAGAATTCACCAAACCCTTCTAACACTTTTAGAAATAACAACAGGAAAAGAGAAAAGATGACAGCTTTCCACATTTTGTACAGCGACATCTCATGTTCAGTATTCCAGTACTGTTTACAACTACAACGGCAGTTAAGCGGTTTACCTGAAGAGAGTGGGGATGGGATAACCCAGTCACCCGGTGCAAAACGCTTGACACTGGAGCCAACAGCATATACTTCCCCGACACCTTCATACCCACCAACTGCTGGCACTGGTGGTCTAACCGGGTACACACCTAAACCATCGACACCGACCATTTTTCCACATTTAATTCGTTTTACAACGCATTACCACATCCTGATTCTTGAACTCCTGAGGCCTAACTGCTATTTCTCGCATGAACTCAAGAACTAGTCTATGTCATATATCATAAACAATCATTCTTACACATTCTCTTTGACATTCCCGATCTCTAAAAAACATCCCAATCAAAAAACTCAAAGTACCGACATACTACTGAACAAAAACAGCTACCACCATTCAGTAACACAGACCTTACGAACACTTCTTCTCTTCCACTAGCCCGGGGTTCAAACAACGCACGACTCTGAATTCTTGAACTTCATCCTTTTCTCACGAGTAACATATTTTACACATTCTCAATCTAAAGACTTGCCAGAAACCGATGCATTGCAGCAGAAAGAAAATCACTTTTCACGAGTATTCTGGATAACTAAAGGCAAGATAAATTACCGCATCTTCTAGAGCAAACATAGCAAATTCCATCACGATTTCGATCTAACTAGATAATTTTTGGAGAAATCTCATACGAAACCTTCGATTCTATTGATATCGGAAGGATTGATCGGCGCCGCGAGCATTTTAACGCACACATCATTTTCTCTCATTTCCACCGGCGGAAGCTCAACCACTCTGCCGAATCCAAAAAAGGGAAAAAGGAAAGACTTGCACGAGCCAATACTTACACATATACTCACACTGCGTTGTACGCAGGAGGCAAATGTACGAACCTGTTTTACCAAAAAAAAAATGTACGAACCTGGTGACGGAATCGGGAGGGCCGTGGAGGTCGTAAACCACGGCCTTCGAAGGCGGAGACATCATAGCCGAGAACGATCTCACCCACCGTGACGGGAATCCGTTGGTTCTATTCCATGGAAGATTCGCCGCCGGCGAAAACGTCAGAGCTCTGACTACGACGGAGTTCATCAACGCTGCCATCTCTCTTCTCTCCGTCTTCAGATAATTTGAAACGTCGGCGTTTAGAGGGCTACTAAAAAAAAGTAACAAGCGAACACTGCACCGAAACGCAGCGTTTCATATATACACAAATATATAAACATGGTCTGTGTTTTTGTATTGACATAATGCCAAAATTTAAAACGGCAGCGTCTTGGTTACTTTAGGGTTTTCTCGACAAACCCCTCCTCAGCACTCACCACGTGTCCTCTAAAGATTCGGGATATTAGCTCTAATCTCGCAGCTTTTGATTTTGTCCACGTCACTAATCCACGGATGGCTCAGATCTCCCCCACGTTTGATGGACCCCACCTTCCACGTAGACTTGTATGCCACGTCATCATCCTCGAAATAATATCTCCTCTCACCCCTACATCCCCATCCCTTCCCTTCTCTCTCTCTATGTTTTCTCTCTCTCTCTCATCTTTATCTTCTCAATTTCCTCTCCAGTCAATAATTTTCTCTTTCATTACATCAGGTCTTCCATTTTTGGGAAGAAAAAAGGGACTCGTAGAGCGGCGATAACCAGACAAGGAGATACCCTTTTGGCTGATCTTGCAAACCCTTGATTAGATTTTGTGATTAAATGTTAAAACAGGCAGATTAAGTGGATAAAAATCGTTTTTTTTCATAGAAAATACGGTCAGCTATGGTCAGAGATTTTGGCGGTGGTTCGTGATTTTTCAACCATGGATAAGCTTTGAGCTTTAAAGGTTTCTATCCCTTTCCTTCCTTTTCCCCTACTTTTTTGTGTGTGATATTCGCAATCTGGGTTTTGTGTTGGTGTTCATCTTTACTGAGTTTGATTTCCTTATTGACTCTTATGATTAATCCTTATTTGGAGCTGAGGAATTCATAGAAATTTTAGAATTAGGAAACTCTGGATCTGAGGTATGAGAGTGTATCATAATTTCTCAAAGATGCTAGCTTTCATCATGGGTTGATTTTTATTTGTAAATTATTCCACCTTTTGTTGGTTGTTTTTTTCTTGTTTCGGTTTAAAAGTAGTGCTGTGCGTTTCTGTCTGGTTTATTTATGCTTAAATCTGGAAGCCTCTTCTTTGGTAAATCCTCCGTTTGGCGGCTGAGAAAACGGTAGGAAGTCGAGAAAGTTGGAAACTTTGGATTTGGGAAGAGAGAAACGCTTCAGGAGCTTCTTAAACATGTGACCTTCCTCATTGGGTTTAAAAATCCATTCGAATTTTCTTGTGTTACTAAGTATTGAAATGGTTCGTATAGCTTTGTGTAGATCTGATATGATATCTTTGAGTGTCCTGTGATTGGACAAGAACATTTACTGTGTATATACATGTCTGTCACTCTGTTTTCTTTTTCGGATTCCTGTTCACTTTTTCTTTCTCGGGTGTGAGATTTCAGTGAAGGGCCTTGATGTTTGAAGGAGACGACATGTATGAATGTCATGCTAGAGTAGATGGCAAGTTAGCGCAGAAATTCAGAAGTTACTTTTCGCTGCTTCTTTTCTACCTTGTTGATGGGGTTTGGCCCAGTGGCTCTTGACGGTGTAATGATATATCGGTATAACAATGTGTTACGAGAAAAAGGAAGTCGCAAATGGAGTGGCCGCCACCAGGGGACAAGCATTAGGTTCATCTGAGGAAGATGAGTCTCGGGTTGATGATACTGGCCATAGAACTGCCAACATGTCTGTTGACATGTTGCAGATACCGCACCAACAGCAACAACCACAAGCCTCGTCTATACGGTGGGAGAGATACCTTCCTGTCAGGTCACTTAAGGTTCTTCTAGTGGAGAACGATGATTCAACACGTCAAGTTGTCAGTGCCCTTCTACGGAATTGCAGTTATGAAGGTATTTTCTCTGATTTTAACTTGCTGGATAATGGATTGGATGCTTCAAGAACTTCTTGTTCTGGAGAAAATCTCCTGTCATTTGGTGGCTTTGTAGTTGTTGCTTCCAACCAGAATCCATTGTTCAGATTTGCTTCATTCATTGTAACACTGCTAATAAGGAGTGTTGCTAATTGTGAACTGCAGATTGTGAAATTTAGCCTTCTGTCTTTGTTTTCCATGTTCTATTACCATTGCTTTGGATAATACCTTATGTTTATCAATCACGTTGATGTGTTTATGTAAGTTATATACATAAGTGTTGTCCCTCCTGTTTTACTGTTTTTACTTCTGAAATTTTTTTTTCAGTTACTTCTGTTTCAAACGGTCTTCAAGCCTGGAGAATGCTAGAAGATGAGAATAATCACATCGATCTGGTCTTAACCGAGGTCGACATGCCTATACTTTCTGGAACAAGTCTTTTGTACAAGATCATGAGCCATAAGACATTCAAGAACATCCCTGTCATAAGTCCGTGAACATCTTATTCTTCTCCGTTTGTTGTTTTACCCTGATGCCGAATTTTGTGTAACATCTGATTCAATTTTTTTTGCAGTGATGTCATCTCATGATTCTATGAATCTGGTCTTTAAATGTTTGTCAAAGGGTGCGGTCGATTTTCTCGTGAAACCCATCAGAAAGAACGAACTGAAGAATCTTTGGCAGCATATATGGAGAAGATGTCACAGTGTAAGAATTCCGTTAGGGTTTCGGCTTCTATAATGCATAAAGAAAACTCATTGTTCTGTTAGTTACGTCCTCCTTTCTCTTTAACCAGTCTAGTGGTAGCGGGAGCGAGAGTGGCACACAAACAAAAAAGTCGGTAAGGATCGAAAGCAATGAAGAGTCAGAAAATGATACCAGCAGCAGCAATGAAGATAATGAACATGAAAATGGGAGTACTGATCCGAGTATCCGTGATGGAAGCGATGATGGAAGTGGAACTCAGGTAAATGTGGATATAGATTTGATTCTCGAGAACCCTTTTATGCAAGTTGATTGGACCGTCTTCCAATTTATTTATTTTTTGTGTTTTCAGAGTTCGTGGACCAAAAAAGCTGTGGATATTGATAGTACCCTTCAAGCATCAGCTTCATATGATTTACCTGATGCACCCGATAGCACCTGTGCTCAAGTGATAGACGTGAAACCAGGAACTTACGGTAACGGGTGGGTACACATAAGTGAACAGAAGGAGCTTGAAAAGCTGCATGAACAACTAGGTAGGAAGAGAGAAACTCACTGGAGAAATTGATTTCAGTAAACATTGACAGGATTCTTTCTGTTTTCTTACATATTATCTGATGCAAAATCACTATTCTAGATGATGTTGAAATCAACAAGGACTTGCAAGCAGGAGCTTGTGAGGCTGGTGATCCTGGGGCAAGCAAAAAGAAAGGTAAGGGCCACAAATTGGAAAAACCCGAGAATGAGAATCTGACGGGAAAGTCCAGAGAACGCGATGCAAAGCCTTTGGCTCAAGTTGTAGAGAGAAGCTATGATGAGACACTGAATAATCCTTCCGCTAACTCGCAAGTCAAAGGCAAAACATCTTCGTCCAGCCCTGAAGCTTTGCCATCACGAAAGCTAACTGTGACAAGGCCAAGAGATGCTGTCCTGAGGCACTCAGATCAGTCTGCATTTTCAAAGTAAGTTTTGAAAAAAAAATCAGACAAGTAAACTGTATAAAGTCTTTATATTGAAGCACGATGAGCTTACTGACTGATTCGGATTCTCCGTTTTGCCTTGTCTGACATGCAGATACAACACTGCCACTTCTGCTAACAAGGTAATGTAATCAAATTCATGTCGGTTTCCATACTCATCTTGGTTAAAGCTTAATTCTCCTGGTAGGGTCCTATGGGAAATGTCGGAAGCTGCTCTCCGAATGATAGTTCTGTTGCGAAGATGACGGGTTCTGGCTCAAGCAGCAACCCGTTGAATCAGCAGTCTAACGGAAGCAGCGGTCACAACTATATCACGGGTTCTTCTGGAAAATGTGCAAATACGAAGCCAGAAGCATTCAGGACATTTCACTCTTCTGCCTTTCACCTCGTCCAGACCACTCGCTCTATTCCTTCTCAGTCTCATAAGATATCACCCGAGAAGACAGACGATGCAAGAGGTAACATGTCCAATATGTTGGACAGTACGGTTCTCAACTGCAGTGTTACAGGAAGCGCCTCGGGAAGCAATCATGGAAGCAATAACGGTAACAGCGGCAGTGGAATCGCTGGAAACACTGAAAACCCTAACGGTGAAAGTGATAATGCCACTGATGGGAGTGGTAACAGACGGGCAACCCAACGGGAAGCTGCTATAATGAAGTTTCGCCAGAAACGAAAAGAACGATGCTTTGAGAAGAGGGTAGATTTCTGGAGGGTCTTTATGATCTCAACCGAGCTAAATATCTCCTTTCTTACGGTGCAAGTTAACGCTTTTCTCTGTCTGTTTCAGGTAAGGTACCATAGCAGAAAGAAACTGGCTGAGCAACGGCCTCGTGTCAAGGGTCAATTTGTTCGCCGGTAAGTATATATACCATATCGATTTGTATCACATAAGCTACCTCGAACTTGTTGTAAAGTTACCATTTTTAGCAATTCTTACCTGATTGGAGGCTCTTGCAATGACCAGGAGTGATTCCAAATCGGGAAACGATTGCCCGAACAGTGGCATGGCGGCTGAAGACAGTTCTCACGACAGCGATAGATGACAGACAGAAAAGGCGATCGCTGATCGTTGCATCTCATAACCTGTGATTCACTTCCAAGATCCGAGGAACAAAAGGAACAAGAGAAAACGATTCGATTGTCTTTCATCAACTGACTCTTTGGAAACATGAACTGTGATAGAAACCTATTCTCAAAAGACTTCTCAGACACTGGGTTGTTTGGTTTTTCCCCCACTGACGGATTTATGTGTTCAAAATGCGTTCTCCTTGTTTCTGTTATTATTGCAGTGTGTAAGATACAGCGTCAGAAGAAAAACATTTCAGACGAAAAGTCCCCATCTGTTTTTCTTTCCTTTCCAAACGATCAGATTATCTTTTGTCGGAACACTATAAAAAGTCCATAAATCTTCTAAGCCCCTTTCTTTATAATCTCTCTCTTGCCTGAATCTTCTGTCAAAGCTTCCAGTATATACAGTCAAAGACAGTGTTTTCTCATCCCGAAACTGCAACATCATCATCTTTCATCTGATGTTGGGGGGGGGGGGGAGTAGACCACTCTGTAAAAATAGTATATATCAAATCGATGAGCGGACATGGAATTTTCCCCCCAAAAAACGAGGCAGATTCATTCCTACCCCTATCTGGAACTTTTCTCTGCGTATTTTTCTCATTCTGGCGAGTTTTGATCTCTTTTCGTCAATGGGTTTCGGATTTCTATAGATTCTATGCACCGATCTTCTTTTTGTTCGCCTCTCGAATCTATTCGCTTCTCCATCATTCCGTTTGATCATTCCTTCCAATGGAGGAGGCCTCGACATCAAAATCAACCGTTAGGAAAACGATGGAGAAGCAACTGACGGGGAAACGCGAAGATACGATCCTCCATTCGGCGGTCAGGCGAGGAGATCTCGGAGCGGTGAAGGAGATTCTGAGTGAAGCAGGAGAAGAGAATCTGACGGATTTGTTACAGAAGCAAAACCAGTCCGGCGAGACGGTGCTTTACGTGGCGGCGGAATACGGCGATCCCGAGGTGGTCGGAGAGCTGATAAAGCACTATGATCTCACCGACGCCGAGACCAAAGCCAGAAATGGGTTCGACCCTTTTCACATCGCTGCAAAACAAGGAGAATTAGGTATTTTTTTGACGAATTCAGGATCCAGATGGTACGGGAATGCAATGATTTTGTTAAGGTGTTATCAAAGTTGTAACCTTTTTTTTGTTGGGTTTTCTGAAATAGAGGTTCTGAAGGTGCTAATGGAAGCATATCCAGAGTTGGCAATGACGGTGGACATCTCGAACACGACGGCTCTACACACGGCGGCGGCTCAGGGACACGTTGAGGTCGTGGAGTACCTTCTCGAGACCACAGGTAGCAGCCTCGCCGCCATAGCTAAGAGCAATGGCAAAACGGCTCTGCACTCGGCGGCGCGTAATGGGCACGCGCAGGTGGTGAAGGCTGTGGTTGCGGCGGAGCCGGACAGCACGAGGAGGACAGACAAGAAGGGTCAGACGCCACTTCACATGGCGGTGAAGGGTCAAAGTCTAGACGTCGTTGTCGAGCTCGAGAAGGGAGATCGGTCCGCTTTGAACATGGTTGATTCCAAGGGTAATACACCATTGCACGTTGCATCGAGGAAAGGTCGGATTCAGGTTCGAAAAAAAAAGTTTTTTTTTCAACTTTCTGGCTTTTCCATGTATGCCCTTTCTCCGATTCTTGCTGATCTTTTACAGATCGTAGAATTGCTTCTAAAGAACAAGGGAACGAGCACGAGAGACATAAACCGCGCCGGAGAAACAGCTCTCGACACGGCGGAGAAAAACTGCCACGAAGAAGTCGCCGTACTCCTCCGCAATCACGGAGTCCCATCGGCCAAATCCATCAAGAACCCATCTCCGCCGGCGAACGCGGCGGCGCGTGAGCTCACCCGGACGGTGAGCGACATCAAGCACGAGGTCCATCACCAGCTGGAGCACGCGCGAGAGACAAGGAAACGCGTTCAGGGAATCGCGAAACGCATAAACAAAATGCACGTGGAGGGCCTCAACAACGCGATCAACTCCACCACCGTCGTGGCCGTACTCATCGCCACCGTGGCGTTCGCCGCCATTTTCACCGTCCCGGGACAATACGTGGACGACCCGAGTTCGATATTGCAGGGACAGTCACTCGGAGAAGCCAATATCGCGGGAAGACCAGCGTTCACTATATTCTTCGTGTTTGATTCGATCGCCCTTTTCATAGCTCTGGGCGTTGTCGTGGTTCAGACATCAGTTGTCGCGATCGAACACAAAGCCCAGAAGAACATGATGGCGGTGATCAACAAGCTGATGTGGTTGGGTTTGTGGGCGTGGGGGAGGACGAGCGGTGGCTAGCGATCGGAGTGACGGTGGTCGGATCGTCGATAATGGTGACGACGCTCGGGACGATGGGGTATTGGGTGGTGAAGCATCGGATCGAAGCTTCTAACGCAAGAAACGAGCATGGAGAATCCATGGCCAGATCCCGACAGATGATGATGCCGGGTTTCATGGAGGTTTCTGGGTTTCTGACAAAGAGAATGTATGCTATTTAGATGTGTGTGTGTATGCAGTGATTAGAATCAGTGTTTGTGTGTGCGTGTATCGCCATTTTGAATGAAATCATTGATGAAACAGGACTACAGAAGAAGAAGAACGAGAAAACTGGATAAATGTTCTGAAAATGTCAAAAGAATCATAAACCCTAACTACATTCACTGTTTACTTTACTTGAGCCACAAGAAAAAAAAATGAACTACCGTCTACCGGTATCTATCTATTTGCCGAGTCCAGAGTTGAGCAGATTATATAAAATCAATTCATTTTCACAGTAATCCGATATAAAAACCAATATTTTTATTAAAATTTTAAAAATTAAATCAACATAAAACCGTTCAAAATAAAAAATTTCAAAAAACATTCGGCACAACTAATCCCTTATATTCAAATTCAACCGTTGTCGAAAATTCTTATTTATCTAAACATTATTTTCCACGTTTGGATTTAAACTCGGGTTAAGATATATTTTGCATGTTATATTACGGCTAGTCCACCAAAATTTGGGTGAAAATTTTTAATGTTGTAAATTTTTCTAAAACTAAAGAAAATCAAACAAATAGTGACCAACTAAGTGTCTTAGTTTGTTTTACTGATATAAACTTGCATATTTTTTGGGGAATTTTCCTTCATGAATTTGTCAATTTTATTATTATTATTATTATTTATTATTATTATTATTTTGATAAATGCCATTGGAGAGCTTACGTTGTGTTTGGGGAAGTGGTCAATTTCTTAATAAAAATCCTCCACATGCACTCACTCTACGCAAATTTAATGAACTCACTCAACATTTCCCGACACTTGGGAAATCTATGTACCATTCGAATCTCCAACTGTTTTTTTTATTATTATTATTATAACATTACATTAGTCTTTAAAGCACTATGTTTTAAATTATACTATTTGTTTAGACAAAATATGTTCTCATAAAAAATATAGATCACAAACTATAGAGTGGAAATTCTTTTTATGTGGTTTTCTGATTAGAGAGGCCGATTATCATTAATCATGATACATATTTAATATTTAAACGCTGTCTTCAAATTTTATTGGTTATTAAATCAAAGTAACGGTAGAACATTTGGTAGCAAGTGAATATTTCGATTTCTAGTATATAAATGAAATCGAATAAAATATAATTATAATCTAATAGTCATTTGATATAATTTTAAAATTTTAAAATTAATCCAATTTAAATGTTCCGCTCAAATATAAATATAATAAAAATTAGAATAAATATTTTTTTTACAATTACCCAACTAAATCTAGATTTTATGTACAAATCCAAACACAAAAATATCTGGCCTAAGGATGATACATTGATTGTTGACTTGAAAAAAGGTGACAAACGACGCATATTTAATGTGATATAATTTTTTTTTTTGATACATTAGGAATCCCGTAACTATCTACCCTTACAAACGGAGACGAACTGGCCACCAACCGTGCCTAACAGTCTCCATGGAGCTCAGTGTGATATAAAATTTTTTGTTTACTATATAGTTCTTGTGATATTCGCAACCAGAAATTATTAATAATGTAAACAACCTCCAACTTTAGATATGCCCCGAGGGACAGGCAACTTTCTAACCAAAATTTTAAAATATTCAAATAAAATCCTTTGCTCGAAGGAAATTTCTTCGGTAGTTAATGCTTTGGGCCATTGCTTCCCTTTCACATATTTTTTTCCTTTGATAGACCATTTTTTTTATTGATTTGGCCATACCTTTTTTGCCAAATAGAAAAAAAGAGGAAATGAAATCTAATACCTTGTTCTGTATATATATATATATATATATATATATATATATATATA